TAGGTCCATCAGAGACAGTAGGTCCATCAGAGACTGTAGGTCTCATCTGAGACAGTAGGTCTCATATGAGACAATAGGTCCATCAGAGACAGTAGGTCCATCAGAGACTGTAGGTCTCATCTGAGACAGTAGGTCTCATATGAGACAATAGGTCCATCAGAGACTGTAGATTTCATTAACAACAGTAGACAGCAGCAGTAACACATGATCCACCAGTAACTGTAGATCCCATCAGTGTCATTAGATTATATCTGTACATCCATTAAAAACAATAGAGCTAATCATTGACAGTAGATCCCATCAAGTATACCAGATGCATCAACATAGGTCCCATTAGTGTCACTAGATCCTATTTGTAGATATCATCAATGACAGTAGATTATTTCTATGGTATATACAGTATAGCTCTGTATGTAACTGGAGATAAAACAGCATCTTGATCATTTCCTGTGGAAACACCCAACGAAATGACAAGAAAATGGATCTTTATTCTTGAACATGAGTGTAAAAACAAACAGCTGCTTAAAATAGAGGAATGTTTACACAAAAGGGCTACAGTGTTTAAAAAAAGGAGCCATTGGCAGTTTTACCTCTAATTGTTTTTGCCTTCCTTTRTTTTGATCCGCACCAACAACCCCTGACCTTTGTTTTAAAAAAGGAAAGACCAATTAGTTTCAGCTGAAAGAAGAGATTCTTACAAAGAGTTTAGATTTTTGTAACACGGTCCCATGTGGGTGATCTGTTTGAGAAAGATTACGAAGCAAATTAAAACAATAGACTAATTAAAAGAGGGGGTGTTGTAGCTCGGTGGTCTTGTAATCCTGAGGCTGCAGGTTTGAGTTCAGCTTGTGCCAGAAAAAGCATCTGGTGTAAAATAATTATCAAATCTTTCATGTGGGTTTCGTTGTGGTGACTCCTGCAGAAGCGAGCAACCAAAAGAACAGATTAATAATTGGAAATTATAGAACAAGTAATTATGTGYTTACAGCTTGTTAATTTTGTAGAAAATCCATGTAAATTTTAACATGTGTGACTTTGACTGAAAATAATCTGTTCAAAGTACAGATGATGCAATCGTTTCAGTGTACCGAACAGAACGAGTTTTAAAGCTTTTTTAAGGCTTAGAAAACAACAACAACAACGAGTTTTCTGACCAAAACTGTGTTATATTTAGTTTTTTTTTCTGTCATGTGACAAAAGAACATGAATCTTTTTGTAGCAGCTGCTGGCGGCCGGAGACAGGTGACATTGTTGAGTGACAAAGACTTGTCTGCTCCTGAGGGAGGTGTGGGTGTTACAGAGAGGTTACTCTGTACTGTTAAGCAAACATTACTGTCTGGACTTGTTTATTCTTGGCTCCGTGTCAAAGCTGCACTGAACTGCACCAAAGATTCTCATTCAAATTGGAATTAAGTGCCTTTCCTGCTCTAAAGATTTACTTAGTACGGATTAGACACATCAGCGTGGGCAATCCTTTTCATATTTCCRTGATCAATTGCTGCATGACTTCATGCTTCAAATCTAATTTGAGATTAATCCTGCAGATAATACAAATATAAACTCCTCAGTGTTGCAATAAAAGAATGATTGCACAATTTTTGCATCATAAATCAAAGCCTAGATTTTATCCTTAAACAGATAAATGAGATAACATCAAGGCTAAAAGTAAAGAAGGCAGAAAAGAAGCGTGCAAAATATATTTAAATAAATCACAATGTTTTAATGTCAGCTGAATTTATAAAATAAAATTTACAGTTTGTGCAAAGAGGAAGGCGTGGCCCCAATCAGCTGACAGTTATTATCCACCTATGAGTGAAACATCGCTAGTTGAGCTCGTTCTGTAACTTTTAGTTGTCAAAATGTGATTTATTTGCCTCCCAGGAAACAAAACACAAAACATGAAAAAACATTTTTTTTATTGCACCAAGAGCACCTTATCCTTTGCACTGACATTTAAAACAAGTAGTTAATTTACTTGACAAATCTGTTTACTTGTCTGACAACCCATGTTTGTCAGTGTTTGCAATCCGATCCTGGGTGTAGTTTGTACTCATTTGTATTTATGAGAATCATCTCATCTGTTTGTGACTTTTTATGCAAATTCAAGATAATAATATGGTAAAGAGTCAGTAGCGTGATGAACACCTGACAAGACCTTTTGGCTTCTGAAGTGGATTAACATTCATTTCAATGACTTTTTAAAATAAATAAACCTAAATTAATATTTGGTTGGGAGGAAATCATTTTTTATCTTCATTAAAAAATKTAGCATGAAAGATGGTTTGAAATTTGCAATTTGCTAATTTTTTTTCYTTTTGTTTTTTTTTTCTTTTTAAATTTGCAATCCTTTAGAAATACCAGGGGTCGGATGTATAAAGCCTGCGAACGCACAAAACAAGCCCAGAAACTTGCATACACCACTTTTCACGCAAAGGTTGTGATTTATAAAATCCAAAGTTGACGTGAAAATGTGCGGTGCCTCACACCAGCTCTGACCCACGCGTACGCTCATTTTGGAGACGGGAGGCTGCAACACAGATGGTGAAGTGAGGAATTATAGCCACACTGTGTAATGATCACTGTCAGATATTTAATTTCACTGCATAATCAGACTTAGATTTTAGATCAACTTTAGCTTTCTTAACAGTAATATTTATGCTTCTGCTGCTGAGCCATGAGCTCCTTTTGAAATAAAAAACTTAAATCTTAAATAAAAGTTCACGTATCTCCATCCATCTCCTTCCTCCTCAGACGACCCTGACCCACAGACCCCTCCCTGACCCACAGACCCCTCCCTGACCCACAGACCCCTCCCTGACCCACAGACCCCTCCCCGACAAGAGACATTTCAACAGCACGACAGCAAAAGTTAGGCTTTGGGTACTCGCAAGGCGCACCACTCCCCAGTGTGGGTGTTATAAAAAGTTCACTTTTTAAAGTCCGTATTTGTCACGCGCGCGAGGCGGTGGGGGATGTGAGGGGGTGACGAGACGGCCAGCTGCAGATAACAGAGCAGGCAGGAGGGGGAGGACAGGAGGAGAGCGGTGAAATTATTTACAACTTTATCTGACTTATTTAATTTTATTTATTGTTTTTTCGTCCTGCAGGCTCTGATAGAAAATAAATTTGAAGCTGAGTTTTTTAAAAAAGAAATCGTTAGATTGCTCTAAACATCTCTAAACCTGAAAAATGAGGGAAAATCTGTGTCAATTACAGACATTTTGTTCACGTGAGCAGCTGTCAGAACCTGTCATCATCCAGACGCACGACGGAGCGTGTCTGAGCCAATCGCTTTTTTTACATTGATCAGCTGACTGATTTCTTAACATTCATGAGGTACTTTGCATTGGCTGTTTATGGTTGAGTGTGGGTGTGTAGAGGGTAGAACCTGAGGAGGGATCTCGTGCGCAAACTCTGAGGTGTGGCTGTGATCTAAAAAGGAAAGATGCGCAGAAACATGTACGCACGGTTTTATAAATCTGATTTTTTTTTGGCGTACGCCATTTTCGCCTTTTGGCCGTACGTTCACTTTTAGTATGGTTTCCACTCAATCCTTTATAAATCTGATCCCTGGTCTTTAAATTCCTTTTTGCACTTTGGTCCGTTTTATGGATTAAATTAGCCTGATTATTTTT